CGCCCCGCCCCGTCCTTACGATGAGGTCGAACGATCCTGAACCCGCCCGCCTCCCGCAACTCCATTCCATTAGCGTAGTCTTAAGTTCGTAAAAATCATTTTTCTTTTCCTATCGAAGCGCTTATAGCTTAAGCTAGGCGAGCAAAAGCGACTGAAACTTAACCTGTGTGGATTGCAACTCTCTTTCTGCACTGATTTGTGTCAGGAAGTTTTTACTTAGTAAAAAAAAGGAAAAAAAAGTTCAGACGTGTCGAAAGGGCAGCGACGAAGGATTTTGTTTTGAGTGCAGTTTTGGTGGTGACTCATTCCGCCCAATAATCCTGTTGGTTTTTCGCGTACGCGATAAGAAGGTGATAAGACAGCTCACGTCCTGTGCCGAGCAACGCCACTATCTGAGCCGTTCCTGGAGGGGCAAGTCCTCTCAGTGCCGCCCACGCAAGTGGCTCACGTCTTTCGCGTATTTGGACGTCACTCTACATCAGATCCTCTTCAGTTCTTCAGGGCCGGTTCTTATCGGGCTGCCATGAAAGTGTTAGCACGTGCTGTATTTATACAGCAACGAAACTAATGAAAGGAATTCTTTGCGTGTGAAATACGGAATCACGAATCGTCATAGACAGTGCATAGTACGGTTTTAGTTTTCACTTTATTTTTGTTCTTTTCTGCTCTGTTTTCAAAGCGTAACCAAACAGCGTTTGAGGCGCGTCCTGGCCGTCGCCAGGATTCACCACCGGGGAAGTGTACCATAGTCGTGTCTAGAGTCTAAATTTTCCCGCTCGACCTGAAACACAGAAACTAGACCGAGCGCCGAGGCAACGTGAAATTTGTCACGGAGTACAACAGCACACGCGGCGCATCAGCTGTTGTTGACAGCTCGCGTGAGAGAGGGGATGGGGTTTGGGGGGGGGGGGAGTCGACGTCGCGTTTCTCCTCCGAAAGCACGTTCCACGGTCATCGACAACACAGGCGGACACCCTGCCAAGCGAGAAACAATTATTGTCCCACGATCTGTGACTGACACAGTTGTCTGTCTAACGCACATCAGCAACAAAACTAACTGAAAAAAAATCTATGTGGCAACTTCCAATGCCAGAGATTTTGACCTTCTGTGTGGATGCCGTTTTCTTGGCGTTCTTTCCGGTATAGAGCCAATTTTTAGCCTGCGGTCAAATATTGCCAGTTAAAGCATTAAGTTATACAGTTCGCGCATTTTTTTCCTGTGTGATGTGCTGGGGACCTTGCAGCGGCGGGCCGCGGGGGCCGCGCGGGCCCGGCAGGCGGATCGCATTTGAACAACTTATTTACTCGGCGGGCGGAGGCCTGGCCCCCGGCAGCGGCGCCAGCAGAGTACACCGTCAAGTAAAAACGCACTCCGACCTCCGACAGTCACACGCGTGACGAGGCGGGACGGTCACACGTGACGGCCGGCACGCGCGCACCACTAAAGGGGGTGCAGCTTAAACAATACAGAAGCGCGGCTCTCGCGAGCGGATGCAAACTAATCGTCGGTATACCAACGGCCGGGGCGCTTTAATGCAGCATGTACACTCACTGGCAAAAGTCCCATGGGACGAGTGCACTCGTAGCTTAGTGAGGGCGTCCTCTTTCAGCTGTTCAACTATTTTACAAGTTAAAGAAAATTCTAAACACGCAACAAACGAATTTTCTTGTATATATTTTTGCAATAGAATGTTTTGAAATAACTTTCCGATTATTTGGTTTTCGGTATTTGTTTCAACCGAGGTTTTGACCGTGTGGAGTAGGAACTTCTCCCTCTCCCTCTTGAGTTGCGCAAGATGACCAACCATACCGGGGTTCTGCTGGTGCTGGTGATCGCCGCCTGATCCCGCTGAGGCCAGCGGGATACGAGTTTCAACGCGTTTCCAGGAGAGCAGGCAGTCGCTGCGCGCGGCCGCCGGGGGCGTCTGCTCTGTCGAGCTGTTCACAGACATCCCCCCCCCTCCAGCAGTCCTGTCCCCAAAAGATACCTGTGTGTTTGGGGAAAACAGGGGAGATGGGAATGCATATGTTAAGTACACGGGGATCTGGACCAACGGCCTTAAGGTTGCTCCACTTGGGTGAGCACTTCGGCTGTTGTTCAGGACAGCGGTACTGGCCGCCCGCCCGTCCTGAAATATCAGCCGAAAAACTCGCTGTTTCGGTGGAGATTGTAACACCAGAAGTCATGAATGAAGACTGTCAACTTCAGTAACGCTACGCTACTGTGCTACTTCCCAAATCTGAGGAGCTCTCCGATCCGGCCCGGAGCGCCTGTGACGCGGAGGGTAGGCAACTCCGTGCGGCAGTGAGGCTCGACGGGATTGCCTACCCGCGCAGGGGCTCTCCGCCGCCTCAGTGCGCTACTGGACCCCCTCGCAGAGAGGACAGAGGACACCTAAACACCCATACTCTTTGAAGTAAGTATATATGCCAAACTCATGGTCGGAGGCACAACTCATCAGCGAAATCTGTCCACTCCTCTTCGTGGGGCGCGGCTACGCGGCTCTCCAGCGCCAGTCACGACCCGCATGGGGCGGGCGGGGCCTGTCTCCAGGCCGGCCCAAGGAAACTAAGAAGATCTCTCTCTCTCTCTCTCCCCCGGACGGCCCGCTGCTAAACCCGAAAACGTTGTGGGCGCGGAGGAGAGCTCATCAGCAGCCTGTCCGCGACCTCTGCCCCGCCCTTGGGGGCGCCGCCACGCCGCGCCGCGCCACGCCAGGTACTCTGCGAGCTGAGTTTCTCTCCAGCGCGTGTGTGGCTGTTAAGTTCACTTTTGTGAAACATTCCAAATATATGTTGTTGTTGTTGTGGTGTTATGTTTGTTTTCTTTCTCTCTTTCTCATTTTTTACTAAGGAAAAAAGCAGACACAAATCCAATATATATTTATATTATAAAAATGTTTATTATTTACCAATAACTTAAAGCTCCTCCTACAAAAGCAAGCCAGAGCGCAAATTATAACAAAGTCAAGAAAGATTCTCGGCACAAAAATGTAAAAAAAACAAATAAACAAATGAATGCTTAAGTAAACAATGGAACAAGAAGCAAATTCCAAATAACAAATAAAAACAAATTTTATTTAGATCTAGGTAATTTTGTAGGAAAATAGCAAACCTTGTAAGTCATCTAAAACTTAAGTATAACACACATGATTTGAATTTTCTCTTAATCAAGGCAAACATGGTGACTTCATCCAAAATCAAATGGTAACTAATAGACTGTAGTATAGAAAAACAGTGTAATAGATCTGATTTATTTAAAGACTAGGTGCCACGAGTCATGAATTCATAAGAAGCACCATCTAAATCAATTAATACTGACTTAATTCTGGTAATGTCCAACAGTACGTAAAAAGGGGGTATAAAATAAAAATAAAAAATCTTACAACTGTGCTAAATGATCGAACACAGTCTACCCCAAAGAGCTGGTCAACACAAAATGTGTTTGAGCCTTCAAAACTAATTATACAATTTCAAAGGTCCTTGGTCATCATATTATAGCTACCCTTGAAACAGGACATTGCCTAGCACCTTCCAATGGCTGATTGTCATATTTGAGCTTCTATATAAATGAAAGCAAAAATTATTGAATTTGATTTGAGCAATGTTTCAAAATTACAGACCCTGGGTAGACGTTCGAGCTTCAAATCAGCACGATTAATTTTATGTGGTACAACAATACCTCAATTTCAATTTAGTTTAGTACAAAATATTTTAGCAACAAGAAATTTGGCACCAAGGCACAACTTTGATTTTTACACAAGAATGCATACAAAAATGGCAAGAAAAGGCTGACTGACTTCTGATGGAAAAAACAAGTTATGACGATACACATACAGTTCATTATCATTAATTACATCTTGAGACGATACTTTAACATCATTTCTGAAAGAAATGCGTACTCCCTTCTTTGATTCAACATGAGATCATAATTAACACAAACAGAAGCCTTTCACTGTAAAACTTGAGGGCACAGAAAAATTAGCTCATCCTCTCTGTATCAAAATTACATAAGCTATTAAAATAGCACATATTGTGGGTGTATGCCAATAAGTGACAATTCAATACAAGCACCACTTTAATCAGTATTATTATAAATTTTATCTTTGAAATACCATTTTAAAAGTATGGCATAAAGGAAAGAAACAAAATATGGAGAACAGTGCATGTATTGACATGGAAAAGGCACATATTCCAATAGTGTTTAGATAGCGTAATCACAATTATATGGCGTAGCGATACTGGTAGCATTCCCACTCAGGGCGAGTATTCTAGTGACTGGGAGAACTTCTGAAGAACTCAAACAAAACATAAAACACCTGAGAAATTCATACAATGGCATGTGTTATTATTGCAAGGCAAACTGCATTTCCCTAATGTCACAACCATGGTTAGCATGCTCTAAAACTTGTTCTTTAAGTTGGAAAACTTGCTGCTTTAATTTGTTCACCATAACACTCAGGTCCCCATTTTCATTCTTGAGGAGTTTCACCTTATCCTCTAGCTTAGCGATCTTTTCCAGCTTCCTTCTTCGGCACTTGCTGGCAGCCAGACGATTTCTTTGACGTTTACGTTCCAGTTTAATTTTTTCCTGAGATTCCATGTTAATAGGAGACATGGGAGGTGAAGACCCGAGACTTGGAACACGCTGTTCTTCCTTAATCCCGGAGAGGCCATAACTATTGGAAAATGTAGCTCCCTGACTGTTTTCCAGGAGCGATGAGTAATCCTCTGAAGAGTCTCCACTGGAAGTACTGTCACACCTAATGTTCTCCACAAGAGGCCCTCCCTGGCTTGAGTCGCTGTGTTGTAGTTCATTCAAGGCCGCCTCAAATCCATTGGCGAAGTTTTCCTGTTCTTCAGTCACCGCTCTAGGGAAGAGGATGGAGGCGGTATTGGGAGTTGGTGTTGCTGTCGCCAGAGAGCCGTTCCCCATGATGATCTTCTCCAGGTCAGGCGTTGCAATACCCAACTTGTGCAAATCTGGGGACGACAACACTGGCACATCCCCTATGTTGGCAAAGCGACCCCGCTTGGCTGGCTTGGAGAAGTTGAGGTCCAGCGACAGATTCCTCTTCTTGGAGTTGATCTCCCCCTGCTGCTGCACAGCCTGGCTGGTGAGGTAGAGGTGGTCCATTCCGTGGCTGTTGTTGCTGCTGCTGGTTGGGACTCGCACCATAACCCTGTCGGTGTCCACTATCCACTCAGCTGGTGGGGCTGTACTGGCTGGTCAATCACTGACCTCGCTGGGGCTGGGAGGACTCGCGTAAACAAGACCACGTCACGGCACTGGCACTGCCCTCGCGCACCCCGAGCCCAACTCCACTGAAAGTCTCGCGGACACGACCCGATCGGACGGCAGCAGAAAGCGTTGTGATTGCGCGGCGCTACAACCGAGGGGCTTATATGAAGGCATGAGTCATACCGCTAAACTCGGCCGACGACGTCACCGTCCGCGCCTCCCATTGGCGGATGGTGACGGCATTCGGCCGTCGAGCTTCCTGATTGGCCGGACGCGCGATGGAGGGGAAATCCAGCGGCGCCAGCCCTCGGGCGCTAACAGAGCGCAGCAGAGGTGTGCAAACATTGCTCTCCGAACTGTTCAAAATTCTCCCTTGAAATAAGAGCGATTGGTTTGTTTGTGTTCGAAAAGCCAAACGACAATTGGCAGTAATGTAATCGGGTAGTAAATGTGGAGTTTTTACGTTGTGTGTTGGCTGTGCTTAAGACATGAAGGACAACATCAGCAGCTCTTAACTCCTGCACGGACAAAGCAGTGTCCCACATGCCAGCTCAAAACACTCAATATCGCGTGACAATTTTAGTTTTACTTTGTACGCGACAGCTTCTCACCCATCCCAAGTATCGTTTTGAAACGCGCTCCTTGTGCCGCTTTGTCGCTTAAGGTTGGCTGTGCTTAACGCGCCGGCACGTGCTGGCCTCTCGCGGCAGAAATGCGCACCCGCTCCGCGGTCCTCTCCTCGGCCGCTTCGGGTTCACCTTCGTGAGGCGTTCGGGCGATGGCCGTCAGATCTTCGGCCCTGATCGGAATGCTCCTCAGCCCCGACCCCGCGTCCAGCCGGGTTCGGCTTCCAGTCCGGCGCGTTGTTTTGCCGGTCGAGCCGGTCGTGCGTGATCGTGTGTGTGTGTTGTGCTTCGTGCCTCTGCTTCGCCTATCCGAGCTTGTGTGCTGAGATTTGTGTGATTTGTGCCCAGGAATTAAAGTGATCCCTATCTTATCTCGGTGATGCCATGGGAGATGTGAGGAAGACGAGCCCTTGCGTGTGATCTGTTGTCGCCGCTGCCAGTGTCTTGTGTGTGTTTGTGAGTGCTGCCTGCGCCCTGCGCCCCCAGCGGAGCGATGCGGCGCGAGTGAAGGTTATGGCGTACGAGCAGGGGTGATGGTCCTCGACTACTAGGATGCAAGCAGCGAGGGTGTGCGCCTTGCTGCTAGCTGCTATCGCCTGCGCCCATGGTGAGTGAACGCCCGCGGCCTGATCCGTCGCTATCTGTGCGTCCGTCTCACGATCATAACCTCTTTGTAGACAGGTGCCACTACTGCTCCCCCCCCCCCTCCTCCCTTCCCACTTGTTACCCTCCTCCTCTTTGTAATGGGGTTTGGCACTTGAATTTTCGTCGTCAGTAATTGGCAATGACGTTTAGACCGATTAATGATTATCACATGCACTATGGTCATTGTTGACATTTGCATTTAATGTACTTCAAATTTTTATTGTATTTAAAAAAATATCATCAACTGCATTTTATCATCCATCTATCAGAATCATTATTGTAATAATGTGATAATATCTGTAGTCACAATGTTTCTGTGCTGCAGTTTCGATTTGATTGTATTTTTGTTAAACAGAGAAGCAATCTGCTTGTTGACATTTCCTGTCATTAAGCAGTTAAGCATCCACAGAATGTGTTATTCAATGACCTGCTTGCACGCCTTTGAACAAACCTGTCATTGTATTATATCCCCTGTCTGAAGTATACTCAAAACAAGGATCAGTACAATTTGTTGTTGTATTTCATAGTAGTCATTTTCTTGTTGACCTATACTTTAAGGTCAGTATGATGTGTCATTTCATTTGTGGTGTGTTGTTGGCACATGCGCACCCATCATTTCCGTTGGCTCCTCTGTTCTGAACGGTTGAACTTTAAGACTTAGAGCGTGGCTTTTAATTATTCCCTATTATTTATCGTGGAAGCGTGACCACATGTGATGAAGTGTGTACTGGTTCACGAGGCCCTAATTTTACCAGGGGATCCTCGTGCTGCAGAGCAGGTTTCCTGCACGAGGATCTTTAGTGAATGAAGTGCGTCAGAGCCCGACCTGACCTAGGTTGCGGATAGGGGAGAGGGAGGGTGGTACTTTGCAGGACAGAGCCCTCAGCTCTCCCAGCTCGGCTCCATCCCCTCGGAGTGCTCTCCACCCGCGCTGAGTGGCCCTGTCACGTCATGTCCTGGCAAACTCTCCCGTCTCCAGATCGATGGATGCTGCAGTATGCATGCATGGCCTCCTCCTACCCGCAGCGCAGGAAGAGAGGAAGCGGCGCGACATCCAGGTCACGGGTGACCCGAGGGGTCATGTCTTGTTCAGGGACGGCCCCCCTTCGAACGCTATAGTGACTGTCGCGCACACCCTCTCCGCCCAGTGTACAAGCCGAGGGGGTGGGTGTTGGGCTTGGGGACAGTAGCGAGCTTAGCGACGGTCCCCACGATGGTGATGTGCGATACAGCTGGAAGCTGCTGCTGCTGCTGCGGCGGCGGTGGCAGAAGCACCCGCTGGACTGGAGGATCGGCGCTGCTGCTGCTACTGCTGCAGCGGTGGTCTGCCGGTGCGACAAGTTCCTGGAAAAGCACGCCCTTGTCGTGTAGTATCCCTACCTCCCTCCCTCCCCTCTCCCAGCGGGAGGTCCGGCTCCAGCCAGCCTCCAGCGGCGCTGTACTGGCACCGGAGGCGACCGGAGGGGACCGGAGGGAGTCACTCAGCTGCTCAGCTTCCTCCGAAAGGCGGGGCCCCCGCTGGGGATACTTTTTCGCCAAATACCCTCTCTGGCTGCTGGGGTGCTTTTATCATTGCTCGCACTTGGACGACGGCAAACTTTCGCAGAAGCGCACTGCGTCCGAAACAACCCCGTCGGTGTTAGCGGCGTCTCTGGCAGGCTTTACATTTTTCGATACCGCCTGGTCCCATTTAGTAGTCAAGTCAAGGTCGTGGCGAAAGAACTCGGATACGATTTTTACCGTGCGATCGCCAATCTTGCTACCGGGGTCAGGGGATCACTGCACATGCGAAGATGACGTGCTCGTACAGATGAACATTCAGACAAAAAGAATTATTAGGTATATAGCACAACTAACTACGGGACAACTAAATTATTTAGCTGTATAGCTAAATATTGGGCTATGTCTTCACTTCAACTTCAACGGGGCTATGTCGCTCTAGCGATTTTATTTTATAAATCTTAGCCATCTAGCTAATTATTTAGCTGTGTAGGCTAGCTTTAAAAATGGCAGTTTCCTTAGCTACATGGCTAAATAATTGTTAGTTATCGTCTATTTAGCTATTGGTTTAGCTATACGGCAAATCATTTTTTTTCTCCGTGTACTCGGGCTGTCGCCTCACATTGCAGTGCTTGTTTGGGACCACGCGCCACGCTCCCCCCAGTCGCGGAGGGGCCGGGGGCCGGGGGCCGGGGGCCGGGGCCCGGGGCTGCGCAGGTGGATCAGGTGTATGGGCGACTCCCTTCTTCTTTGCGTGTCCGTCTGGTCTGGTCCGTCTGTCCGTCTTTTTGTTTGTTTGTGCGCGCGGATCCAGGTACAGTCCTGGCTGTTCAGTTTGGGTCAGGTGTGGGGTCTCTCAATATAGAATAAGACCCCC